TCGGATCAAAATTTGTCGTCAGTGGCAAACAAACTTCCACCCGATATTAATAAACTTGTATCCCAGAAAGATGTCAAGCATCAGAACAAGGGGGGAAAAGCGCAATCATCGTAATTTTTAATTACAAAATTGTACTACAAATTTAGCTAAGGGACAGACATGCCATTAATTATTGTATTCTATTGTATTGTTTCTAATTTACATAAAACTAGTATGCTGTTTTGCAACGGATTTTTGGCTGCGGCCCCTCAGGCCATACATAGTAAGTGTTTTATGCGGCCCATACACCTTAACGAGTTTGACATGCCTGCTCTACTGGATAAAGACATTAACAACAGGATAGCCAAAGCAATGGTCACCATGTCACGTTGCAGAAAAGAGTGTGGGACAACATATTGCTTACTAAAAATACTAAAGCCCTAGTCTACCTGTGTGTTGAGCACTTTGCTATACGGAAGTGAAACATGGTCAACCCACTCATGGCAGGAAAAAAAGCTGAATGTCTTCCACCTCCGATGATAAGGCGGTTCTTTAAAATAAGGTGGCAAGATAAAATAACCAATGAGGAAGTGCTTCAAAGAGAAGGGTGCCAGGACATCCGCTCTGTTATCAGCAGCAATCGCGTTCGTAGAATGCCAGTAGGTCGACTTCCACAAGACATTCTGTAAGGCGATCTAATAGAAGGCTGGTCGCCCACTTTTACGGTATACGGATGTATTCAAACGCGACACTAGCAGCTGGGGAAAAGTAGCTTTTTGATTTGCTTGTATAGTTTTATAAAGTTTTTTGAAATGGTGGTGATAGTTTTATTTGTTTTATTGAATTGAGCTGTATTGGTATCCCAGTGATACTACTGATACAACAAATGTCATTGAAAACGAATAGAGAAAACACTAAGCAGGAAGAAAAATCTCTATATTTGCAATATTACAACATAATGACTAAATGCTTGAAGGATGTTTTGGCCAGGCAATGAGTTAATAATGTGCACATTGGTTATTACACTTCCAAAGAACAAATCTTGGTCTGACACAAATTGCTAGCAAATCTGGAATTAACCAAAACACGCGTGTGTGTGTGTGTAAACTAAAAACTTGTTGAGAAGACTGCACGTTGTATGTCTGTCCAAGCAATAAATCCTTCACGTTCTACTATACAGCTCGAGTTTCAGAAGCAAGAAACACGGAGTTTTTGAAAGTCCAGTCAATCTCAACAAATGCATAGAAAAATACAAAGCAACTGAAGCTATAGAAACAGCTCGAATTAGAAGTGTAGAAAATGAAAATACTTCATTTCTATGAACGAGTGACGAGAGTAGACACCAAATTTGACGTTCTAGAAACAAGCCAGCAGAGCATCACTCCACAAACTTGGACCTGTTGGAGAAGTTCAACAAATTGTTGGCTAGTCATTCAATCAATTTGAAGTTTAAATGCACACAAACCGGATTGATCGCTGAGTGTATAAGATGAACCCTAAATGTTCAAAGTGAAGCAAAATGTAAATATTAAGTTTGGTGAACCTTTAAGTTCAGCTAAATAGTGTGACACTTGTACTGGCAGGTTTAGTTAGAAAGAAACAGCTTGTCTTATGATTTGTTATCCAAACTGGTTTAGTTAGAAAGAAACAGCTTGTCAAATTAATTGTTACCATTTTGGGCCCAAGTTACTACCTATAAGCTTTATGTACAGTAGATCTTCAATTGAACAAATAGAACAACCATAAAACATCCTAACATTTTTTTTTTTTGAAAGACCAAACATATACACAATACATCAGGAACAGACCAAACGATTCAACAACAAACAATCAACTGTATATAAGCATAATTGTATCTTTAATCTATATTGCCACTAAAAAAAAAAAACGCGTCTAAAGGTGGCTATGGGGTAACCATAAATTTTTTTTTAACATTTTAGTCATTTTCTCTGTACTCAAACATTCCTAAATATCAATAAAAATGAGTTCAAGTCGCCTTGTCCATTGTTTTAGTAGCCTTTGAAATTGGACTAATGGTTAGGAAAAGAAAATTTGTTAACTCTCTCCGTAATTATTTCCCACGTTCCGATGGAATTATTCATCTTGTTCATTTGTTTCATTACCCTGTTAACTTTTGTGTATGTATCAGGATTAGTTAAATTAGCTATGGGAGGCGTAGTGGCTTAGCGGTAAAGCGCTTGGCCTCCGAACAGGGGTACCGGTTTCGAATCCTGGGATTTTTAATATCGGGATATTTGGGCGCCTCGACTGAGTCCACTCTAATGGATACCTGACATTACATGTGTTGGCCACATAACATCCTCGTTAACCGTAGGCCACAGAAACAGTTGACCTCTACATCATCTGCCATATAGACCGCAAGGTCTGAAAAGTGAACTTTAAATTAGGTATATTATTATAGAAGAATGCTTGCTCTTTTTATATAACACAAATTAAAGTTTATTAAACCAAAAAAAAAATTTAATGGGGTTAAATCAACGTTAGTTACGAGTGAAAGAGTCTAATACCAAAGCAAAGGGGAATAGTACGTCTCTGTCCGTATGTCAATATTGTGACCAATTAGAGATGTGTGTGGCTGTTTTTAAAGAACGTAACTTTAAACAGCATTATGAAATCAAAAACATAAACAAATATGGCGGCATTCTTAGTTTTAGCCACCAAGAAAACAATGGCTAAGAAACGATGAGAAGGGACAGGACAATGAGTCGGCGGTAAGGGCAGGGTACAGAGTGGCTCACAAGTACCTAGTGAAATGAGACCCTTTTTTTTTTTTCGACATACGGGGAATACTTTAGAAGGGGTTACTCTCTGTAGTGGAAATGTGTCATGGAAATAAGAATGCAGTTGAAGCCGCCACTCTTTTTCACATGACAATTAGAAAGCTCCATTAAAAACTAAGAGATAGAGCAGAAGAGCTGAAAATGTTTACCATTAGCGCCGACATATCTGACATCGTTCAACTCTTGCCACTTTCTCGCAGTAAGAAAAGTCATTTTTAAATCACAGAAAAGTTATACCGGTATGCTATGAGACGGACGACCATCTAGATTCAGTGCTTTAACTTGGTGTCTCATCAATGCAGTGCAAAGACCTGTTCAAAGAAGTTTCAAACATCATGGATGAGGAGGTTTCTTTCCTTTGGGAGAAATTAGTAGACTACTGATACCGCCAGAAGTATGGCTGGATGACATAGCGAACTAACAGCAAGAGTTATAAGAAAAATTGTCAGGTCAAACGGAACCTCTGTGGCAAGAAGTTGAATCATACTGACATACTATCATTTAGCAGGATGAAAGGGGCGAAACCATTTTGGTGTAATCGCCTCACGGACGACCATCTAGATTCAGTGCTTCAACTTGGTGTCTCATCAATGCAGTGGGATTTTCAGAAGTTGGTTTGTGATAAACTTCCTAAATCCCATGAATTAGTGTAAATAAGTGGGAGGCGCGGTGGCTGAGTGGTTTGCTTGCGATCTGAGTGGTCCCAGGTAGAGTCCTGGTGAAGACTGAGCTTTTCAATTTCGGGATCTTAAGGTCGCCTCTGAGTCCACCAAGTTCTAATGGGTACCTGACGTTAGTTGGGGGAAAAGTCAAGGCGGTTGGTCCTTGTGATGGTTGACATGACACCTTGTTAACTGTGGACCACAGATGACCTTTACATCATCTGTTCCTATAGATCGTAAGGTCTGAAAGAGGAACTTTAAAAAAATTATATCCACGGGTTTCTAATAAAAGTGTTTATATGAGGTTTTTAAAAATCTTTTATGTTATGTGGCCCGCGACATAGTGTTGGAAATTAAAATGAACCACAGACCGAATAAGGTTTGACATCGTTGTTTTATCTAATTAATAAGTGAATTAAGCATTATTACATGTACCTAATTTTGCTATTACCTAATTTCAAGACATCGAACCGAACCCGAACTTTAGACCGTACCGAACCATACTTGTAACCGAACCCGAATTTTAGAAGTTGGGTTCGATTCCCATCTCTAATTCCTAATCTGGTAGCGGTTCTCATCTCTAATTCCTAACCTGGTAGCGGTTCCCATCTCTAATTCCTAACCTGATAGCGGTTCCCATCTCTAATTCCTAACCTGATAGCGGTTCTCATCTCTAATTCCTAACCTAGTAGCGGTTCCCATCTCTAATTCCTAACCTGATAGTGGTTCTCATCTCTAATTCCTAACCTGATAGTGGTTCTCATCTCTAAATACTAACCTGATAGCAGTTCTCATCTCTAAATACTAACCTGATAGCGGTTATCTCTAATTCCTAACCTGGTAGCGGTTCTCATCTCTAATTCCTAACCTGGTAGCGGTTCTCATCTCTAATTCCTAACCTGGTAGCGGTTCTCATCTCTAATTCTTAGCCTGGTAGCGGTTCTCATCTTTAATTCCTAACCTGGTAGCGGTTCTCATCTCTAATTCCTAACCTGATAGCGGTTCTCATCTCTAATTCCTAACCTGATAGCGGTTCTCATCTCTAATTCCTAACCTAGTAGCGGTTCCCATCTCTAATTCCTAACCTGATAGTGGTTCTCATCTCTAATTCCTAACCTGATAGTGGTTCTCATCTCTAAATACTAACCTGATAGCAGTTCTCATCTCTAAATACTAACCTGATAGCGGTTATCTCTAATTCCTAACCTGGTAGCGGTTCTCATCTCTAATTCCTAACCTGGTAGCGGTTCTCATCTCTAATTCCTAACCTGGTAGCGGTTCTCATCTCTAATTCCTAACCTGGTAGCGGTTCTCATCTCTAATTCTTAGCCTGGTAGCGGTTCTCATCTCTAATTCCTAACCTGGTAGCGGTTCTCATCTCTAATTCCTAACCTGATAGCGGTTCTCATCTCTAATTCCTAACCTGATAGCGGTTCTCATCTCTAATTCCTAACCTGATAGCGGTTCTCATCTCTAATTCCTAACCTGATAGGGGTTCTCATCTCTAATTCCTAACCTGATAGGGGTTCTCATCTCTAATTCCTAACCTGATAGCGGTTCTCATCTCTAATTCCTAACCTGGTTGCGGTTCCCATCTCTTCTAATAAATAAAAGGTAAACTATTTGTAATTCTTCGTTTTGTGAAACTAACATTCCAGTCTATGGCTAAAGTTTTGACTCTAACACAGATCATTAAAGTAGAAGAGAAAAAAAAAATCAAAACGTAATTCAAGTAGTCTAACTAGGTCAACAAAGTCATTGTTGGTTTCCCTTCACACTTTCCTACAATTTACTTAGGATATGAGATTTACTTAGGATATGAGATTTACTTAGGATATGAGATTTACTTAGGATATGAGATTTACTTAGGATATGAGATTTACTTAGGATATGACGGTGTTAGATCATACATGAACAGACACACAAAAAAATAAATAAATAAAATAATAAAAATAAAACATTTTTTTGCACAGGAATTGAAAGGATCTCACTAAGTGAGTGAGCACAGTTTTGAGCATGAACATACAAACTTAGGACAGGAACACAAATAATGGCAAATCTATTTACAAGTAGCCCATATCCTATTTACATGTATGTACAGAGACTTTATCTCATAGAATACAGAGATCACAAATAAATCAATGACATCAATGGCTGTGCACATTCAACACATGTCTGGTATGTTTTTCAGAGTTTCAAGAAATTCAAACTCTGGTTGAGTCTCAACAACCCCTAAGGAGGACAAACTTGGTACTAGCAGGACAAACTTGCTTCTCAATGTCAGTCACTTTAAATCATTGATTGGGAAAAAAGTTTGTTGGCTTTAAAACTGGAGGATGATAAACTAAGAAAGAAAGTTGTCATTGTGTTGTCTTTAGCTTTTCTGTTGGTGACACAAACGATTCAAAGGAAATACTTTAAATGTATAAGTACAGGAAATAATATAATCTTGAAATGTTTCTATCCTATTGCTACAACATCTGTGATAAAGTACCTACACTAGTTCAATATTCATTAGAAACTATTAAGATACACTTCATACTTCACTGCTAGTCCAAACAAATTAAAGTTGTGCACAATGTTTTCTAGTCAATTTTTTTTTCCAGTGCGAGCCATTTTTGTGAGAGCTACCCCTAGATGTGTGATTTCAGAAACTATTGCTATGGTGCCAAGAATGTCTTGGAATTCTAGAATGAGACTAGTTCAGTTTGTACTTGGCATGATAAATAGCTCTAATCACAAACTCTATGGAGCCATTAAGTTGACTTAACAATGAATTGGAATGACACAAATATTGACATTTGAATACAAATTCCAGTGTTAACATTTAGTAATAAGCGAAAAATCAGACATTTGCTGCATATGACAAACATAAATGAAAACTATCATCAGGTCAGATTTAGCAAACAAAAAAAAAAAAAGCAAACCATAAAAACTTGGATAGTGTCAAACCCAAGTCAGTCAGAGTGTGATACAGTATTAAGTACTAGACAATCAGTCCAAGTGTAAGACAGGTGTTCTCATCCATTCAATGTATATGCCTAAGAAATAGACTTCAAAATATTCATTAAAAATGTATTGGATTATGGCCACTGATAAATTCAAACAAAGGTTCCCAAATAAAAGGTAATACGAAGTATGAAATATTCAAGAAACTAACATTCAAATCAATGGATAAAAACATGAAAGTACATTAGAAAACAAAATATGTTGTCATTAGAAATTTCAAGACAAAATATCAATTTTCTTAGATGCACAATCCCCCCCAAAAAAACAGACATAGCAAGATAATGAATAGAAAAATGTTAAGTATCATTTGTAACTCATGTAGCTAACAGAACTACAAATTGTCTCAGTCATATATAAACACATTTTCATTATTAGAGTACATCTTTGGTTGTTGAAAAGCCATTTCCAACTACAGTGAGTCCTCATGTAATGACAGGCCTGTTTAATAATAAACGGCTCAAAGTTACCAAGGACTTTCATGAATAATAATTAATCCTGTTTAATTCCAATACATTACCAAATTTCAAAGATATGACGGAGAGACGAGCGATTCCCACGGTGTGTGGAGCAGTGGCAGCACAGTGGTGTGTTATTTTTCGGTAAAATTTATTTGCTAAATTTTCTTTCCTAGTTCCTGATAGACCCAATATAGTACCCAATTTATTTTGCTTTTGAATCTGAAACTGCTATCAAGTTCAATTGGATTGTTTTGCTCATATGTATATGTCCAGTGCAGTACAATTGGGTTTGAATGTTTTCTTTCTTTACAGGGTTATTTTATTGTACAATTTTGTAACTAAATTTATTTTTCATTTATCTGAATGATTTCAAGTTGAATTTTTGTGTGTGTCTTTTCATGTCTTTGTTTCAATTGAACATCTAGAATATGCTCCTGAAGTTAAATTTGATTTGCTTCCATTTTAATACATTCATATTTTCCTGATAAAGGCTACAACCTGTTTATGCTTTTTTCAATGTAAGTACAAATTTTATTTAATTTCTAGGTTCAACAATATATATTTTTGCCAATAAAACAATGTTTTGTCAGCTGAGCTACCTTTATTCTTTATATGTAACCTAGACTCACTGTAATTTTTGTTTACAACCTATAATTGGTTGTTGCTGAAAATAGTGTATTAGATAAAATATCAGTCTAGCACTTATACATAGGATAAAAAAACTGTTATATGAGCAGGGAGATAATTAATAGAACAATAACTTCTAGAGATATTCAAATCTTCAGAATACATTTTACTGAGATTACTACTGAAAAATGATACAATAAAATTAGTCATCTAATAAATATGTATGACAAATTTTTAAAAATCATTAACTTTTTAAAAAGTCACCGGACTGTTGGTTAGACTAGCTGAATTGTAACTTTTATATACGAGGACTGTCAGTTACAGCAGGTATACTATGATTTATAATTGGCGTTGGAAACACAAAGAAATTCACCATGAAAAGAAACAGAATGTATCTGTGTGTCCAACTAGTGCTAAGATGGGGATAACTATTTCTAAATAAATAGCATTCAATTTCTGACCTTTACAATGTATGAATGAAGGTTTCCTTTCAAAACATCACTGTTAGCTTAATGATGCCACAGAGAAATGCATTACACTATAACACTACATATGCCAGTAAAGAGCCATTTCTTTCAATAGTGTAAATGTAAAACAAGTGACAATATACATCAATCACACTCAAACACACAAAATGTATTGTAGTGTTAGTGTACAAACAAATCTGTGTAAGGTACACACTATCCCTCATTGAGACACAGGCACGCATCATAATTTAATTCATAGTGTGTCTGTGGAAGGGAATCACAGTCTGCTTTCTTTTAATCCACCAAGATGCCATTGTTGCTCATCTGATCCAGTACACTTTCCTTAGAAACAAAACAAACAAAAAATATTTAACATAATGCAAAAGAAACCTGGTGATAAATGAGAACCAGCAGCAAAGACCCCAAGATCCTACTGGGTAAAGACACACGATGGGGCAACATACCAAAGAAATAGGAGAATGTTTCAAGTTTCAAATCAAGGGTTATGCCTGATATTTTTAAATGATCACCCCAGAGACAGTCATTAATATACAACCTACACAGCCAGAGAAAGTGAGCGATACATTAAACATGCAACAAGAACAGACTACTACTACCAATCTTTCGCCAGTAGTAACTCGATATGGCAGGCAAGTTTGGCCACCACTACATTACCCTGATACAGATATTTAGATACAGTACAGAGATGTCTATATGCCAAAATGGAAATGTGTATTCCCAGACATGGAAATGTGTATTTTGAGGGCAAATGTGTATTTTTCTAAATATAAAGAAATATACTCAGGAAAGACTAAAAATCATACAAGCATGTACTTTGAAATGCAGCAATTTAAAGTTAACACAGCATAAAGTTATATCAGACATTTTATACATTTGTCAAAATATCTACAGTTTTAGTCTTTGTCAGACTTTTCTAGAAAATAGGTAATTTCTTTTCAAGGTATCCAAAAACTGGAAATATTTTATCACATTTTGAAATAATTTAGATATTCTTCTTTCAGACCATTCTCTGCAGAGTTAGCAATGAAAGCTTTAGAACCTCTACAATCACTTTTATTTTTTCAGGCAGGCAATCCTAATAACTCATTGAACTTGTTTCTAATATAAAAGCTCGGCTGTTGTAAGATAAAGCTATTTATTCTGGTTTCTGATGGTTGAAGTTGTTTATAAAACAAACAGATCAAGAATTTAATATTTTTTATCAGCATAATTAAAGCTTTTCTTTTGCAAACACACTGAGCCTTAAATGCCCCTGATTTCATTCTCTAAATGTAGGCCTTCCTAAGTAATGGAACCTAGCTAATCGCTAGTGACTATAACAGTAGTTTTCTATCTGCCACAGAAGATATATCTGTAAATCAGGGCACATTAGCTTTATTTCCTTTATCATGCTAAGAGAGAGATTAAGCTCAACCAACATTTCTTCTATTAAAAGCTCTGCCCTTCTCACTTTCATCTAAAAAGAACTATCTTCTGACATTGGTGATTTACAAAAAATCGATAGATCTAGAACTGTAGGCAGCTTAATGAACAGTTGATTGGTTTTTTAATGTGCATAGGGCAATTTAAAAATATTTTAACAATGCAACAGAATGGTAGGCTCTATCGTGAATGTGAAGACGTCTACAAACTTAGAACAGCCAATTTTGCCCTTTTTTTAAAAATGTTTAGATTCCATAAAGAATAAGAAAGGAGATCAATAAATCTCTATATAAGATGGCAGAAATTGCTGCTTTTAAGTAGATTTAGATCTAGACTATATAGTTACAGATATCAACAGCCTTAGCTACTAGCTAGACCTAGTCAGTAGTCTAACTAGTAACTAGGCCTAAGGCTTAAATCTACAATGAGATGATTTAGATTAGTTCTAAATTTAGTCAATAGTCTAAATCAAGATCAATAACTACATCTACTTTGATCTATATTAGTTCTCTCTAGATCTAAATCTAGTAAACACCTAATCATGTCTAGATCTAGAAAACAAAACTAGATATATTTAGATATTAATTATAATTTCTAAATCTAGATTTACATAAAACTTTTTAACGCAATACTAGATCTTAAAAGTCCAATGAATTAGAACCAAACAATTGATTAATTCCTCCCAATCAGTTTGAAGAATAGTCTACAAATAAACTAAAATATTAAAAGGAACTAGGTTTTATTTGCACCAGCAAGATCTAGATCTAGTAATTATTTTTGTCTTCGCATGTCAACACGGAAAAAAAA